ACATGAAACTCCCAGGCAGGTGTGTTGAGGCAAGTTGGAGCTAAACTCTGCAAGACACCAGCCCTCCAGGACCGAGTTTGGTGACCCCTGGTTTAAATCTGTGGTTCCCAAACCTGTCCTGGAGGCCCCCCTGCCCTGCACCTTTTGTATGTCTCCCTTATCTAACATACCTGATTCAACTCATCAGCTTGTTAGTAGAGACTGCAAGAACTAAATTGGGGGTGTCTGATTAGGGAGGCCAACAAATGTGCAGAGCAGGGTGGCCTCCAGGACAGGTTTGGGAACCACTGGTATAAATAACATACCTCATCATCATCAGCTGATTGTGTGCCACCACAGGACTTGATATGCATGTATAAAACTGGTAATGGCATGGTTGTTTGACATGTCCGACACTCCACCTTTGGCATCTTGACAAACTCCTCTGCTGAGAATGGAAGTGGATCAAGACACAACTCATCTTGAAGAGGGACCATGTAGAGTGCTGTTCTTCCACTGGTTGTTGCCATTTTGATAAGGCTGCCAGTGTAGCCCTCTGAGTCTGGAGGGACAACAGTAAGCCTTCTCCTTCCATTACCACCTGCCAATTCAAATATACATTACAACACATCAAACCATAGCGGGCCTTTACTATATAATTAGGCTTTTATCTGTTGAAGCTAAAAAAAAATATTAGTAATGACCAGTGCCCGAGTTTAACCCATACTGTAATATCACTTCCTTGTGCAATACTATAAAATAATAACTTCTTTTTTAACAGGGTATGTATACATGTGAATGCTTTGGGATGCCAAGAGAATGTGCAATTGTAACCCTGTGTAAGACCACTCAAATATGACTTGTACAGTTTGCACTAAAACAGTTGTGTTTTAGCTCTTCACATGCTTGTGTCTGCTCTGGTATTTAATATAGTGCACCTGGTGCCTTATAAAGCAGCCACCCTCCAGCGAGTGATCTCATTTTGGGAAATTCAGCTTCAAGACTTCATAACTACAGAAAACATGAAACAGAACAAGGGTTTGCAAACAAGAGCACAAAATTTAGAGCACACACAGTAATGGTAATGTAAATACATATTAAATATGATTATGAAATATTGATTTGGGATTGTTTCAGACAATTAGTCTTTCCATACTCCAAATTCTTAACCCTGGGCCACTCATAAACAATGGAAATCAGGGTTTGCGCTGTATATTCACAAAACATCTATTAATACTACTGCTAGCAAATATAGCTTGTGGTGAACACAAAAAGAGGTTAGTAACTGCATATCAATGGAACAGCTCATCTATGGAAATGCTGCATTTTACTTTTCTTTTCACTATTCCCCAGATTATGAGTATATGCATGACTTTCCATACGCATAGGATTGTTCAAAGTACATAAGCAATTAAGAAAGCTGGCACTGAGCTTTACTTGACTGTTTAACAACTTGTTGGGGTTGGGTGACCTTACATCGACATGGTCACAAAGTTGTACAAATGTTTTGCAATACTACTAAAAATTGTACTTACTTCAGAATGGTTCATGTTCGACGAAACTGTAATGGTACGTTTTCCCAACCCTGCCTGGATTAACTCCAGCTCATCGGAAGGAGAGGGTGAGGTTTCAGTGATTTTGTTTAAAAGACAAATATTAATTGTAAATGGCTTCCATGCTGTTGCTTTAGATTGTATTTGCGTGTTTGCAGTTTTCTTTTTCTTCTTAAACATTCCAGGAAATACTCTATAATACGATAAGAGTGTTAATTAATGTTAAATGTGCAAAAGAAAGACAAATAGAACAGTTTAATCGTTAGGTGAGGGTGCTGATAACCTGGTGATATCTTGATCTATTCTTGGTGAACAAACAGCAGGTGAAGGCTGCTGTTGTTGCTGCTGCTGACCCTGAGCTGGTTGATAAAAAGCAGGAGAAGGCTGCTGCTGACCCTGACCTGACCTGGACCTGGCTTGAACACGCCCCAGTTTCTTGACTCCACCCTCACGTCAAAACAGTGCCATAAAGTGAAACGCACAGAAAAGTGAAGCGCAAAGGGAAACCGGTATGGTGAGCTCACGCTTGACTGAAACACAAAATAAATGGAGCATTGCAAATGAATTAGTAGGTGTGAGCATGGAAAATATGTGTTGCAGAGATAAAATAGAATCACAGTTCATAAGCTTCTTTTACAACTGTCATTGATTTTTGCAATGAATTATATCTTATTTTTTGCAATTCTTTATTTCTGTTTGCAAAACGTAAATTTTTTCTCTCAATACTTTATTTTTATTTTGCGATCTTTATTTTTGTTTGCAAAACTTATTTTTTTTGCTCAAGCCTTTATTTTTCTTTTGCAAAACTTTATTATTTTGCATATATATGTGCCATTATATTGACTCCATACAGTCTCACATGACATCCACTTCACATGTCATCGCGCCAATCTGTCCATCACGTCACATACATAAACAAACCAGATTATCCCACTTAATTTTAATTTACACATAATATAAAATAATCAAAATAAATCTCACAATATTCTGGCATGCATCCTAGACCAATGAACAGATCTTCAAACTCTTTCAGAATGTCATCATCATTAGCAGACACTTCATGTACCCTTTTTATCATGCCTAATGTTTGACATGTGGATCTTCCTAATATTGCAGGAGCATCTCTTTCCACAATCTGGAATTGAATCTTGTGTTTTTGACCTTTGTACTCACAGGTTAGCTGTGTCTGTCCCAATGGCGACATCTGGTGTCCAGAGTATGTAAGTAACTTGCAGGTGGATTTTAGCAGCTTCTCCATTATGTCCAGCGAGTTGAAAGTCTTTAATGAGAGAACATTACATTCTGCACCAGTGTCCAACTTGAATTTCACTTGTTTGCCTTGTATCTTGAGCACTTCAGACCACTCTTCTCTTTATTTCTAGATCTCAGTAGTGACAGACTGTACGTTTTTTAGCTTGTTTCTCTGAACTTCTAATGTGCCCAGGAACCAGGGCTGGATTGGTAATCGGGCATACCGGGCATTTTCCCGACTGTTCTAGTCATCATCTGAAAAATTCTACTCAGCTGTTTTCAACATAATAAATGTTTTTTTTTAGCAGCAAATCAGAATATTTTAATGATTTCTGAAGGATCATGTGACTGGAGTAATGATGCTAAAAATTCAGCTTTGAAATTGCAGGAATAAATAAAAATTTAAAATATATTCAAATAGAAACAGTTATTTTAAACAGTAAAAATCATCTCAGGTTACTTATGTTGTCACCTTCCTCTGTCTGTTCAAGCGTGTGCATCTTTCTAGGGTGTTTCCACTCGTTTTTGCACATTTTTGTGAAGTGGTTCTTTTTATTACACTGTCTGCACATTTGTCCGTAGGCAGGTCATTTTCTCTGTTCATGTTTGTAACCACATCTGCAGCACTTTATGTCGTTACTCGAATCACTCCTCATTGGCATACTCTTGTTGATTTTTGGTTAATTTTTACAGTTTTGATCGTGTGCATGTCTACTTCTTCATTTAGTGCTTTTACTTGGCTAGACGTGATTTCGTTAGCCCGACAAATGTCCACAGCTTTTGCTAGTGTGAGATCTGCTTCTCTTAGCAATCTGGCTCTTACTGTGTCATCTCTTATGCCGCAAACAATTCTGTCTCTGATTAGTGAATCATGCAATTCTCCAAACTCAGTCTTTTGCCTTGTTCTTTAGGTCCGTGACGTAGGCATCAATATTCTCTGACGGTCCTTGAGCCCTCGTGAAGAACATGTGACGTATGTAAGGTAGGTTTTTTCTCGGTTCACAATAGTCTCTGAATTTTTGTTTGAGAATGTTGATTTTGTCTCTCTCATCATCATTAAATTCAAAAGTATTGCAGACTTTTATTGCATCATCACCCGTGACGTGCAGAAACGTGGCACACTGCACTTTTTCAGACTTTTCTGCGATACCGCTAGCCGTCAGGAACAGGTCGAATTTTTGTATCCAAATTTTCCAGTTTTCGGCAAGATTTCCTTGTAAACAGAGGTTCGATGGTGGCTGTAACTGTGCCATTCTTCTTTCGATGCACTTCTGACACCATGTATTGTTGTTTTATAACCATTAAATGAGACGACACACACGTGGCTCTAGAACGCTCATGCTTTATCTTTCTCTGACGGTCCTTGAGCCCTCGTGAAGAACATGTGACGTATGTAAGGTAGGTTTTTTCTCGGTTCACAATAGTCTCTGAATTTTTGTTTGAGAATGTTGATTTTGTCTCTCTCATCATCATTAAATTCAAAAGTATTGCAGACTTTTATTGCATCATCACCCGTGACGTGCAGAAACGTGGCACACTGCACTTTTTCAGACTTTTCTGCGATACCGCTAGCCGTCAGGAACAGGTCGAATTTTTGTATCCAAATTTTCCAGTTTTCGGCAAGATTTCCTTGTAAACAGAGGTTCGATGGTGGCTGTAACTGTGCCATTCTTCTTTCGATGCACTTCTGACAGCATGTATTGTTGTTTTATAACCATTAAATGAGACGACACAAACGTGGCTCTCGAACTCTCATGCTTTATCTACCACCTCGTTCTTACATGTCACATGCTTTCACGTTACGCACTTACATCATGACGTATTACACTTGAATACATTACACCACGGGTGACTCTTTACAGCTAGTAGGTCACTCCGCATTTTCCATTGAGTTGACCGATGTGAACATTCCATTCATTCAAAGCGAGAGAATCGCGAGAGAATCGTTGGTTGACCCCCCTGCGTCAGAATCCGAAGGTGAGGGATTTACATTGAAGTGTATTGTACGGCCCTCTACGTTGAAAAGCGACGCAAAGGGGGTACCTTCTGCCTCGGATGTCGACGCCAGGGGCGTGACGATGAGGGGTGAGACCGTGTTGGTAATAAAGAAACTCAAGAAATACAAATAAATATGCTTTAACAGCAACAAAGTAAACCGTTATAATATTTCAAAATACATACAAATTTGGAACAAAATAAACTTAATTAATTATTAATACTTAACAATGCTCAACCAAGAATTCTACAGATCATCAACCTCCCCCTCATACATGAGAACAATGAACTGTGCCATCTATTGGAGGGAATGCGATCTTCACAATGGTGGCATAGATTAAGAATAGGACACAGTAAATTAAATAGTACGCTTCATATGATAGGAGAGATTCTATAATTGCAGGTACATTTGGTGTCCGAAGTCATTGTTTTTCTTTCTGCTTTTTCAAATGGTAATATTTTTTATTATTTTAATACTGTGTTAATCATTGTTATGAATTGCAAGATGTTACAGTCCATAACAATATAATATATTTTTGCAAAAAGTGTCTTAAATAGCTGAAAATCATGATTTATTGTTGTACGAATTAGTCAGTGAATTTTTTCCATAATGTATCATTGTGTAATCAAAATATTTTATTGTACTTTTCTTTTTGTAATATTTCATTCAATTTATAAAAGCCCTAAAGAGTCATTTACCTATTTCTACAACATCATAAAAAAAACAACAACAAAAATTTTCTGATTAAAATGTGTGTCCGTAAATCTTGCGTCAACTCTGTTACCGTACCATTCTTTGCCTTTAAATTAGTGGAATTATCTCCCACAACTATGTAAGATACAGGAAATTATGTCACTTTCCCTCATTGTTAAGATCTGAAGCACTGAAAAGTCTATGCGCTCTCTCTAAGAAAATAGTTTAATCTAAAAAGTTCTTACACCAAGAGTTATTTTATAAA